CACACACACAAACACACACACACACACAAACACACACACACACCCACACACACTCACGCACACTAACACACACACACACACAAACAGACAGACACATACAAACACATATGCGCACACACACTCACATAAAAGCCTCCAATCCAAACATATCAGAACGTCAAGGTTGGAGTACGACAGGATCTTATTATTGTTTCCCCAAGTTTCTTCTTTTCGAAGGTTTCTGTTCGTTTGTCTCTTTCATCATGTCAGATCCGAAGGTACACATGGTCAAAGGTTGGAAACATATTATTATTCGATTGATGCCACCGTAGTTTTCTGCTTTTCTTCCAAACACGTAGTCATTTTAGATGCGTTTGCTTCTAGATAATGCCTTTATGATGTTGGTGGTACCTTGAGAATTTTCTTTTCAAATGCCAAGTATTCTTTCCCCAAGTTTCTTCTTTTCAAATGTTTCTGTTCGTTTGTCTCTTTCATTATGTCAGAACCGAAAGTACACATGAAAGAACACATTTCAAAATTGATGCTTTAGAAGACATTATTCGAAAGCTCCATTTGTCTTATGCTGTACTACTTGGATGATGATCTTCGTTCAAACGCATCCTTACCCCCTTGAAATGAAATAAATAAAACACAAATGGTGTCTTTTAGTTATTTATTGTGGTTGTTTTGGAGAGATATAAAAGTTCACCACCCCTTCACCTTGGGACAATAGAGTTATATATTTGATACGTCGATATTGGCTCTTATGTACTAGTAATCTTACACTAAGCTGTAGAGCTACCAAAGCTGTACTTAATCAATGTCGGACTCAAGTCGATATTCCTCAGAGATCGCTGGTGTTTCGAGGACACCACTCACAAATCCCATTTTTTTCTTTATTTTATTGTTTTTTTCTGTTCACACTGCCCCATCTCTGTACTGAACGGCCTCTATCGCATCGAAATGCTTTTTTAAAACTCAACCAAACAATTTAATGCTCTTAAAGAACTCTACTGACATGGTGAACTGGTGGACAACATTATGAAATCTGCACTCTGTGAAGCGAAAAAAATAACAGTCCCTTAATGGAGAGATAGAGCCCCCCCCTCCCTTTCCACTTTCCTCGTGCCTCCTAGTATCAAGCGAATTTTGCTGGAGCGACTGCTCATTGCATAAACACGACTGCGGCATTCGTCCAAAATAAACCAATGCCTATTACCTCTCCCTAAAATTAAGAAGTATGTTTTCTGCTCCTGTAATGACATTGTGCCTATAGCCCAAATCGGCGCTAGTTTATTGCCACATTATCATAATATATCAAGGTGGCCCTTATTCAAACCATCTGTACTCTTTTTCTTCTCCCTTTTCTTTACTCTCAAGGTAGATCGTGCTACCAGAGACTACTTTGTAGATCTACTAAACACAGCACCTTTTCCCAGCACAAAAGAAAAAGAAACAAAACCCCAAAAGAAGGACAACACACAAAACAAAACCCAAAAAGGACAACAAAAGAAACAGAACGGCGACCATCGAGGAACGCTTCTTTTCCACCGCCTTTTCTTCTTGGCAAACGACTTCTTTGACACTGCCCCAAAGGGTATAACCACAGACTTCGGAAAATGGACAAAAGTGTTCCTGCGTAGAACTCCTATTTGCGTGACGTAGGATATGCACGTCTTTGAAAGTCTAACCCGTCGTTGAGGGATTTATTTGAGTGGAATGACACAGAAACATCTTGAGAAGTCATATTATCTTTCCCCTTGTTAAAAAATAATAAACAACAGCACAAGTCGTTATAACATAATTTTCAAAAACTGTTTAGATCTACTAAACACAGCACCTTTTCCTAGCCCAAAAGGAAAAGAAACAAAAACAAAACACAAGTTAAACATTGGCAGAGAACAAGTTTTGGAAAACACAAAGGGGTACCCAGCACTGAAGGGGTTAAAAAGTGAACAAGCCAGGCAATATTAGGACTTTTTTTTCTAGAGGTGCCATCTCTGACTCAGGGGTTAACGTACAGTGATCTCACAACGCTCACGATAGCCAGCTGCCATTCCACGTTTTACAATACCCAGACCAGTTCATTTCTTAATGTTATACCTCTTTGTCACTCTTTGTCCTTCCCTGACTCTCCTACCCCAAATCCTTCCTCCATGCCCCTCTTTCACAATGATCTGGTTGCTTTTTATAGCTAGGTTATATCTTCAGTATTATTATTATTATGTCTTTCTTACTAATGGTGTTTTTTGCTACTACATCACAACGACAAGTATACGAGATGTCACAAACTGACGTGATTTCTTACTGATGTGTTAAGTAACGACAGAACAATGGACATTCAGTAGGATATTCTTTTAGATACCGGTTACCAACATTTAGTCAGTACTCCAAACAATCAGTATATTATCGAAAGTCAATAGCATGGCTTCATCCACTCATTTCAAAATTTGAAGGATTGTTTAGAATCAAAGTATTAGATCAATTTTAAAAAATTGAAACTGCATTTGAGTAACACACATCTTCAATACATAGCTAAGTATTGCGATGATACTTTGCAAGCAGTTTCTCTATGTGCAAGTTGCCCTGCTGCTGTATGGTAACCCAATACTAATCAGTGACATCTTGATACCACTGTAAGGTAACACATTTTCCGAGCCATTTATGGAGTTGGCAGTTTGATGGTTTCAGTGTTCACTTACAGTTTACTTAGTTACATACTATCCAATACGACAGCTGCTGCTATCACTCAAAGGACCGTAGCTCCGTCTGTCTTTTCAAAAATTCTGTGAGTTCACGCTCTTCCCAACAGAAAACAGAACATTATGTTATCTTCCACATGGGTGCCCACCTGTTCACAACACATCGGAGTGGAAGGTAAAGACTTGGGAACGCTGAACTATCATATGCCTGAAGACATGAGTTTCTTACTTTATTAACCCTATGGAGACCACCCTCTGCCCAATCATATACATGATATCATCTCCTTACTTGATGATCTATCTATCTATCTATCTATCTATCTATCTATCTATCTATCTATCTATCTATC